CTGTCTAGATTTGCCATAGCTTTCCTCCCCAGGAACAAGCGTCTTTTAATTTCTTAGCTGTGGTTACCACCTGCGGTGATCTTGGAGCCCAAGAAAATAAAATCTATCACTACCTTCATTTCTTCCCCATCTACAGTATTTGCCAGGAAGTGATAGAACCAGATGCCATTATCTTAGTTTTCTTAATGTTAAGTTTCAAGCCAACTTTTGTGCTCTCCTCTTTCACCCACATCAAGAGGATCTTTAGTTCCTCTTCACTTTCTGCCATTAGAGTGGTATCGTCTGCGTATCTGAGTTTGTTGATATTTCTCTCAGCAGTCTTAATTCCAATTGGTGATTCATCTAGGTCCGCCTTTCACATGATGTACTCTGCATGTAAGTTAAATAGGCAGGGTGACAATATACAGCCTTGCTGCACACCTTTTCCAATTTTGAACCGATCAGTAGTTCCATGTCCACTTCTCAGTGTTGCTTCTTGACCCACATAGAGGTTACTTAAGAGACAAATAAGATGGCCTGGTATTCCCATCTCTTTAAGAATTTGCCACAATTTGTTGTGATCCATACAAAGTCTTGAAGTAGATGTTTTTCTGGAACTCCCTAGCTTTCTCAATGATCCAGTGTATGTTGGCAATTTGATCTCTAGTTCCTCTCCCTCTTCAAAATCCTGCCTGTACTTCTGGTAGTTCTCGGTCCACATACTGCTGGAGCCTAGCTTGTAGGATTTTGAGCATAACTTTGCTAGCATGTGAAATGAGTGAAATGGTGCGGTAGTTTGAACATTCTTTGGCATTGCCCTTCTTTGGGATCGGAATGTAAACTGATCTTTTCCAATCTTGTGGCCACTGTTGAGTTTTCCAAATTTGCTGGCATATTGAGTGTAGTACTTTAACTATATCGTCTTTTAGGATTTTGAAAAGCTCAGCTGGAATACCATCTCCTCCACTAGCTTTGTTGTTACTAAGACTTTCTAAGGTCCATTTGACACACTCCAGGATGTCTAGAGTGTGAAGTCGAGGTCAGCAACCACACCATTGTTGTTATCAGGGACATTAAGATCTTGTAAAGTTCTTCTGTGTAATCTGGCCACCTCTTCTTAATCTCTTCTGCCTCTGTTAGGTCCCTACCATTATGGTCCTTTATCATGCCCAACTTTGCATGAAACGTTCCCTTCATATCTCCAATTTTCTTGAAGAGATCTCTGGTCCTCCCTAGTCTATTGTTTTCTTCTGTTTCTTTACACTGTTCATTTAAGAAGGCATTCTTTTCTCTTCTAGCTATTCTCTGGAATTCTGCATTCAACTGTGTGTATCTTTCTCTTTCTCCCTTGCCTTTCGCTTCCCTTCTTTCCTCAGCTATTTGTAAAGCTTCCTCAGACAGCCATTTTGCTTTCTTGCATTTCTTTTTCTTTGGAATGGTTTTAGTTGCTACCTCCTATATAATCTTGCAAACTTCCATCCATAGTTCTTCAGGCACTCTGTCTATCAGATCTAATTCCTTAAATCTATTTGTCACCTCCACTGTATATTCATAAAGAATATGATTTAGTTCATACCTGAGTGGTTTAGTGGTTTTCCCTACTTTCTTCAATTTAAGCCTACATTTTGCAACAAGAAGCTCATGATCTGAACCACAGTCAGCTCCTGGTTTAGTTTTTACTGACTGTATAGAGCTTCTCCATCTTTGGCTGTAGAGCACAGAGTCAATCTGATTTCTGTGTTGACCGTCTGGTGATGTCCATGTGTAGAGTCATCTCTTGGGTTGTTGGAAAAGAGTGTTTGCTATGACCATCGTATTCTCTTGACAAAATTCTACCAGCCTGTGCCCTGCTTCATTTTGTACTCCAAGGCCAAACTTGCCTGTTTTTCCAGTTATCTTTTGGCTTCCCACCTGAGCATTCCAATCCCCCACGATGATAAGGACATCATTTTTTGGTGTTAATTTTAGAAGGTGTTGTAGCCTTCATAGAACGGGTCAACTTCAGCCTCTTCAGCACCAGTGGTTGGGGCATAGACTTGGACTGCTGTGATGTTGAATAGTTTGCCTTGGATTCGAACTGAGATCATTCTGTCATTTTGGAGACTGTATCCCAGTACTGCTTTTCCTACTCTTTTATTGACTATGATGGCTACTTCCTTTCTTCTGTGAGATCCTTGCCCACAGTAGTATATATGATGGTCATGTGAATTAATTTCACCCATTTTGGATTAGGCAGATTACCCAGATGAAAAAATGAGATCATATTAATCTAGCAGGATTTATTCTTGAGAAATCTATGTTGGCTTCTAGTCTTCAATGCAGACTGATTGTTTCATGATTTGCTTCAGAATTTTTCCAGGGATTGAAATCAGACTGACCTGTAGTTCCCAGATTCTTCTTCCTCTTCTTCTTCTCTTTCCTTTCCTGAAGATAGGGACATTGGCCCTTCTCCAGTCATCTGGCACGTCCCCTATCTTCCATGAATTCTCAAAGATAATAGACAATGTTTCTGGGAGTTCTTCCACTAGTTCTTTTATGACTCTTGGACTGCAGGAGGGCCCTGGAGATTTGAATTTGTTTAGTTCAGCTAGGTTCTCCTTGACCACTAAGCTGTCAGTCTTGAGCTGCCAACTTGCACCTTCAGCCTGAACTTCCCCTTCATCCGGAAGGTTGTAGATCTTTTGGGAGAAGACTGAGCCAAAGTAGGAATTGAGCACTTCTGCCTTTTCTTTGTTGTCTGTTATCATTCTCTTTCCTTTTTTACTTTGGATGTATCTGAAGCAAGCCTTCTTGTTGCTTTTAGTATCCCTCACTAGTCCCAGTTCTTTCCTTGTTTTAGCATCCCTGCAATTCCATACTACCTGTCTGTATTCTTCCTTTGTAGCCAAGTCTTCCTTCCACTTCCTATACATGTCCATTTTTGTTTTCAAATTATCTTTTAGTTTTTTGTGAAGCCATGTGGGCTTCCTCTGCTCTCTTCCACTCTTTTTCCTTGTTGGAATTGTTGTAGATGTGCATTTAGCATTTCCTTTTTAAGACTTCCCCCTTCTTGGACTTCTCTTCTCTTTAGAATTGGTTGCCATGGGACTTTGCTTATCCTTATTCTGAGTGTGTTAAAATTAGCTTTCTTGAAATCCAGGGCACATATTTGGCTACTTTTGGCTTTTACTTCCTTTATAATGGAGAGCTCAAGTCTGGCATGGTCACTTTCCCCCAGCATTCCCAAAGCTGCTACTTTGTCCATGAGGTCTTCCTGTTGCTTAGTATCAAGTTAAGGATAGCTGTTCCTCTTGTTCCTTCCTCCACGTTCTGTTGGAGGAAGTTATCAGCCTAACTTACTAAAGCTTACTAAATAAATAAATAACTCATGATAGAAATCAGTTGGAGGGGGCATGTTTGACAGAATTTGTCTCCCAACAGCTATCAGAGAAATTGGCATCCCCATAATGACATCTTGCTTGAAACACTGGCAATTTGCTTTTCAAAAGTTGCATCCTCATCTTCCCCTTGATTAGGTGGTGTTCAACTACTATGCTCCTTTTATTCCTTGCTCCTTTTAAATTAAACCAGATGCTCTCGATGGGGCTACTAAGCTCCTCTTCCTGTATTTCTTCGCAGAGATATGTATCTTTAACTATAGTGTTAAAGGGACTCCACCTCCCTTTCTGTTCCTTCTGTTTTTCTTGAACAGGTTATATCCAACAATTGTCAAATTCCAGTCCTGGGAGTCATCCCACTAAGTTTCAATTATACCTATCAGGTCATATTTGCCCTCATGCATTAAGAGTTCAAGTCCATGTTGTTTGTTTCCCATACTCTGGCCATTAGTATATAGACATCGCTGTCCACGTGCCTTATGCTCTTGCTTCCTTCCTTCATTTTTTGGAAGACTATTATTGGACACTGCAAGAGCTTCTTTCTCTGTTGCAGTGCATAGAAGCCTGCGGTTGTGCTCTCTTCCCTAACCATGATTTGGTGGCTGGGACTCTTAAATCTGCCCCAAGCTGTGTCAGTGTGGCGTTCTGGTTCGAGTGCTGGACTGGAGACCCAGGAGGTCTGGGTTCTAGTCCCACTCGGCCATGAAGCTCACTGGGTGACTTTGGGGCAGTCACAAACTCTCACCCCAGCCTACCTCACAGGGTCGTTGTTGTGAGGATCAAATGGACCTATGTAAGCCTGCCTGCGTTCCTCACAAGAAAAATGGCAGGATAGAAAAGCAATATAACCACCACTACCAGCACCGTAATACTTAGAAAAAAATCTGTGGAGCTTTTAAGTGACCCTCTGCTGTTGCCTTTGTGAAAACATTTTAAATTACTGACTGCTGATAGGGAGATGGTAAATGTAAGCATTTGGAACATGTTTTACAGTTGCACATGCTAATCTTGTACTTTTTAAGCAAAGAAAATAGGAATAAAGGTCTGCCTAGTATATAGTCATTCCTGTGGCATCATGAAAATTATAAAACCCCCTGCACTGACCTGCTGATATTACAAATAAACTCAGAATATCTTACAAAACTATATGAAACATTCAAAGATGTTCAGATGTGGTGTCAAATTACAAAGCCAAACCATGGGTTTGCATGATGTCTGGCAAGCTGTAGTTTACAGGCAGCTGCCGAACCAGAATCTGAAGTCATAGTTATAGATGTTTGCTTCACGTTCTAGCTGAACCAACAAACCATGGTTTGATTTATTGTTCCACCCATAGTGGCCACTTTTTGGGATGGGATCCAGAAATTTCCAGGGAAGGCAAGTGATCTGGGACACATGTAATGACTGGAGTTGAAATCAGTGTTACTGCAAACCATGGTTTGCTATTACATCTGAACCAAGTTTTAAATTTCCACTCTTTCTGCCCAACATAGGAATATGTAGGTGTTGGGGCAATGTTGCATCCAACCCCAGAGACAGGTAGGAAATGAAGGAACCATTGTGGGTTTGCAAAGGAGGGCTAAATCTCAGGTCTGTCATCATCTCACCACACTGACTTAAAAGGAAAAAAACCCGAGAACTTACTGGGATCCACATATGCCCAGGTGGGATGGAGAGGGACATTCAGAGGGGAAGGGAACGCCCCTGTTTTCATCCCTTCAGCTGAAGTCGCCTCTTCATAGGTTGGAGGTGCTGATGGGACGGTGGTGTTGTCCTTTTTTTCTGCATCTCCCTGCTGCCCTTCAGGGTTTGCAGGCTTGTTATTCACAGAGAGCTACAAGGCAAAATAGAAAACAGAATATAAGAACAATTCATAACAGCCCAGTGCTTTAAATTTACCTCTGGAGAAAGAGAGAAGGGACTTTGGGAAGCCCTTGAGCAAGAAACCCTCACGGAACCCCTTCGCTTGGACAAGGAAGGATGTGCATACACAGAATCCTCTCATCCTGGCCCCGACTTCTTAGGTTTTTCCATGCCTATTCAGAATGGAGGCCTTGGGATCTCTTTAAATGCCCAAACTTGCCACCCACTGGAGCTGACCAAACAGAAATGCTGCAGGAATGTTGGATGCATTGCAGTTTTTAACACAATAAGTGTTTGTGGCTTAATACAGGGGAGTACTGGCTTACTCGAATAGCCAGTGTGCTATAAAACCAAAGGGAGTACCATATTTCAGGGATGAAACACGTGCTTTGCACACAGGAATTTCAGGTTCAGGCCAGTGGATTGCTTGGTTTCAACCTTTGGCATGTTGAACCACCAAAGCCAAGAATGGAGCTGATGTGCAGGAAGGTGTGCCACATGCTATGGCTTCGAGCACCAGCATACTCGAGCAGCTGTCCACCCACACAGCCACTCGGGGGCCTGAAGTGAGCTTTTCAGGCAAGAATAATCTGCCCCAGGACTCCAGAAGTTCTTCCATACCAAGGACCAAATTCCATTTCATCCATTCCAGTCCTTTGACTTTGAAGAAGTCCTCAGGGGTGGCATTCTAGCAGCAGGGGGGTCCAAAGGAAAAAGGGGCGGGGGCCCAAATCTCAACATAAAGCTCTTACTGTCAGTGATGAAGGCCCAGCTAAGGCTCTTCAGCCTCCCAGGATGTAGAAAAATTGTGCAAAGGCCAAGGATGATGGGCAGCTAGGGCCAGGAAAGGGAGTGTGGCCTTCTGGGAAAGCCTAGACAGCTGGACTTGACCTCTGGACCAGAGGTCTCGAGACCAAAATCACGGAAGAAAATCAGAATTTTTCTTCTCCCCCTGTTCTTGTACAACTGAGGCCTGGCAATGGGCTGCTTTAAGCATTGGGAAGGCCTGCATGTTAGCCAATAGTATCCAAAGGAGCAAATGCAAGCCCAGAAGCTCGAGTTCGTGGCCTGGCCACTAGGCAAGTAACTAAGCAAGGGCCTGCAAAGGTCTAGCAAGCAATTCCCACCCCCACCCCCCACCTCCATTATTACAAAGGCCATGGTTTATTGAAATATGCCCTCTGGTTTTGTGTGTTCATATTTAAATTGCACGCATCTTTCTAGATGGAATTAGTGGCTTTCTTATGAAAAACCTTAGGTAGGCCCTTAGGTAGACCGTAGCAAAGTCCAAGCTTCTGTTCCCAGAAACAGTACAAATTCTTCTATTCTTTTCTTGGTAGCCACAGTAACTAACCGGGAGAACTTGTGCCAAAACACTCCAGAGTTTGGCCTGTCCAAATAGAGCTTGGACTGGAAGCACAATTCCTTCCTGATGTCCCACAGTTGTGAAGATATTTCAAAAATGTCAGCAACAAACCTGAGATGGTGCCCTGGTGTCCAAAGGACTCCTCCATTTTAAGCAGCTGATTTTTTAGAAAGTCCTATTAACCCCAGATGGATCCAGTCCTAGTGAGCCTACTTAAAGGTCTAACCGGACATTCAGGTTGGGTTAAATCATTATATGACCCAACACCTGAAAGCTCTATAAAGGCAGCAACAATGAAGCCTGGGCTTTTACAAGCCAGCAAGAGCTGCCTTGCAGCAGGCACTTGATGTAGCCGCAGCACACATCCTGTCTAGGTGGTCACAACAGCTTGACAACAGCATCTGTGCAACCTGAGCCCATTAGGCTTCTCTCTCTTTCTCTTTCTCTCTCTCTCTCTCTCTCTCTCTCTCTCTCTCACACACACACACACACACACACACACACCCCTAAAGGACTGAGAAATGCAAGGAGTGACACTGAAATTTGGTGTAGTTCCGCCTGGATTAGGGAGCAGAGCAGAGAGACGGCAGTTCTTTGCAATATAGGTTTCTGTGTGCAAAACGAAATGAAATGAAATTGGTACCTGGCTTGTGCATCGTCTAGCAGGCCAGGAAGGGTACTCTGATTTTATAATACCAGCATCCCCTCCTGGCCATGTTCTGCTCCACAAGCAAGATATTAAGTAGGAGAAATCATCTGGGGGTTGCATAACTCCACTTGCACCCACGTGAGACTGGAATTATAGCAATGCAAAACACAGCCATCAAAGCATACATAGAGTGATAGGATTTATTCCTGTTAGCTGCCCAAGCATACAAAGATCTGATGACTAGAACATGCATTCAGAATCTTGAAGCATTTGCTGGATGCTGCTGCTCTGTTTCCATGGCAACTGACAGAGGGCCAAAATGGACATGAGTTCGATGGATATCAAGCAGCTGCATCTTGTTTTCATTTTTATTCTAGAGAAAGCAAAAGAACCCCCTGGGCTGGATCTTACCCCTGCCCCACACACACGCAAGGGTCCCAAGCTGGATCAGCCCCTCACACCAACTCTCGAGAAAAAGTGGAGGTGCTCAATTCAGAGCTGCAAGAGGAGGAGTGAAAGCGATGCTTGTTATGGCCCTAAGAAGCTTAGGGACCATTGGTGGATCCAGCCTGGGTAGGATGAAATGGCTTCTCCACAGGCCGATCACCTGGGTGAATCAAGCTCAGAGCTTCTGGTTATCCAAGATCTTGGAAATGTTTTTGAAGCCTGGAAAGAGCACAGATCCTATTGGGATAATATGGGATCAGGCAGAATGACTGTCTGCTGTCTCTTGGGTACCCTGTGGCCAAATGCAACCATCATAAATCTCTTCATCCATTGCTTTTTGTAGCAGGGATCTGATCTGCAGAGCAAGAAGGAAGATGTTTACCTTCTTGCAAGGATTTGTGGCTAGACTGGCACAATCCAAGTCCAGCATTTTATTTACTTCTGTTTCTCAGCTTAATTCTGCCCGGCATCTGCAAACTATGCTGATCACTATCCATGCACCTGCCCGGTCCTGCTCCCAACCTACCTTTCCCTGCGTCATGTTTTCTTGCTGGATGACGCTTCTCTGCTTGCAAAGATGGCAGTTCGGAGAAAGGCAGACGAGACCCCCGCCCCGTTTCCCCCCTTGTCTCTTAGCAGCTGGCTGGCTCTGTGTGGCTCCTGGCTCGTCCGGGGGTCGCTTCAGCCTCTCTGCGCTCTGCCTCTGCTGATGCTCTTACTTTCCAGCAACATCTAGATCGCTCAACTCCCATCTGGTGGCAGTGAGACTGTACCATTTCCAAGCTATTGAACGGGGGCGGGGGGGGGGGGCTGAGGAAAGCAGATACATACAAGGAAGGCAGGGGGGAATGGAGGGAGGCAGGAGGGAGGGGGTGAGCTCTGACGTCAGCTCTTTCAGAGCATGATGTGCAGAGTCACAGGACAAGAGAACAAGCCAGCAAATGCCAGAATGCAGCTGAATGTGGAAGAGCAGAATGTTGCAGAGAGGACACAGCAGGGGGAGGAGGGAAGGCAATGCGGAGGGAAGCGGGGAAGGATGCTCTTCTGCCAGATGCACCACTTTGCTGCGTTGCAAACGGCAAATTAGGGAGCAATTAGCAGTGCAGTCCAGGGAACTATTACAATTTTTCTGGTGCCGGGCACTGTTGCATTACATCAGAAGGGGAACGTTTGTTCCTTCTGTCGCTTCCTGACTTCCATGTAGCTCAATGCACACATCTCCACAGTAGACTCTGCTTTTTTCCCTTAATAACTGTATGGCCATATCCTTCCCTTCCTCCCTGCCTGCCCGCCTGCCTTTAAGCCATATGCATGCTGCCTTTTTAAGGCTTAGTGCCCAAGGTTCACCCCAGTGGCCCTGGCAACACAACATCTAGTGATGCAGCAGCATCTGGACTGCATTATGGCTTATCCATAGACAGACACCCCGAGTTTCAGTGTTAGAGGCCAGCTGGAGCATGCTGGGCATTGTGTGGCCTTTCCCCATGTGCCTTGTGCATAAGATCGCACCCTCAGGCCTCTTCTTAAGGCCCATCCCATTGCTTCACACACTTTTTTCCCAAGGTGTGACACCCTGTCACTTGCAGTCACCAGAGTCTGGCAGAAGGCATGGCTGTCCTAATTAGCCACCGTTTATTGTCACATTGTTTTAGCATTGTGTTTCAGTGCTGTTTCACTTTAGTGGTGATGCCGTTGTATCCTCCCTGCTTCGAGGGCTTTCTGTGAAATGATACCTGCATTCACATCATAAGCCATAAAATCATACATAAAAGAGATGCCTCACATACCAGTTTTCAGATTTGATTGCCACAGCGCTTGTTTTTTTAAGTTCCGATGGCTCAGGCATCCTGGCAGCAATTTGTATTTGTCTTGATCTCTGGCTGATGGGTTATTTTCACATGCCCGCTTTTACCATACCTGTTCACCAGCAACAATACCGGCCAGAAAAGATTGGCTGGGTACCCAATGCCAGCCCTGTCATCAGACGGAATGAGGCAGCCGCTTCAGGGACCAGGCGCCAGAAAAGGGCGGTGTTCCTTTGGGGGCAAGGCAACCCTCTGCAGGGTTAGGCGGGGGAAAGGGTCCCACCACAAGGGTCCCAGCATCCCTCGGGCAGTCTTACTGGCCAGGGAGTGCTGGAAGTATCAGGATTTTCCTTCTGCCTAACCCTGCATAGGATTCCACCCTCGGGGTATTATGGTATTGCCATTGCTTTGCTGGCAAGAAAGGCGAGAGATGCCTGCTGGGTTTTCTGCCTAGGGAACCAAATTGTCTTGACTTACCCTGGGCCTTACCTGAGTCTTGCTTCACCTGAGGCAGCAAAGGTTCTGGGGCTGGCCCTACTGGCCCCACCTGGGGGCAAAGGGCTGTGTGTTCGTTAACAGCTTGCCTCTTTGTTTCGGGGTCCTCTACACTGACCCCCTTCTGCCTGCCCCTTTTCCCCAGTGTATCTTGTCCTGTCATTTGCAAGCTGAATGTATACTGATGTTCAGGAGTTTGTAGTTGGAAAGAAGTTGAAGGGAACCAGCTAGAATGGGGGCCATGCTGTCCGTGAAGGCTCGAATTTTCCTTTTGGGTGCATTGCCACCCTCTAAACACACCCCTTCTCTCTAGTACTAGCCAAGTAACATTAGTCTGGTGCCTTCCTAATTTTCTTTTCGGCACCAGGCAAATACCTTCCTTAAAAAAAACATTTTAATAACTAATTGCCACAGACCTTTGTTTTGTATGTTTTGCTGCATTTTATTGTTGTTTTAATGCGTTATTGGTTTTCTTATGTTTTTATTGTGTTTTTATCTCATGGTTGTGAGCCGCCCAGAGGTGCTGTGGCACAATTGGGCAGCATGCAGATGTTTTAAAGAAATAAATATTTCTTTGGAGAAGCAGGTTCCATAGGGAGCCAAACAGAGATGAGTTGGAGTACTTGCCCTAAAAGCAAGGGTATGCTTTTAGCTAATTTAGTGAAAAGCCAGTACGCATGCCTGAAGTTGCAGGACTTTAACTTTCCCATTTTAAACCAAACAGTTAACTAGGGTTTTTTTAAAAACAAACAAACAAAGGTTTAACTTCAGTCTTTGGGAGCTCTGTATTCTGCAGGGCTGCCAGGCCTAAATAGAGAGGCTGTGTGAACCATGCCATGTCTGCAGGCTCTGTTCATGCAAAGCTTCTCCACATGATGGTATGGACAGTGGCAGGGTCAGTGGGCCCAATCCTGCCCCCCCCCCCCCCAGCAATGCCTTCCTATCTCTAAACCTGTCTTGGAGAATGAGAGGGTCTCTGCTGGGGGAGGGGGACGCGCATGCATGTCAGCTATAGAAACAGACCAAGCAATGTTGCAGGAGAGGAAATGGAAGACAGGCATGGATTTGCAGCCGGGGGAACACGGGAGCAGGGTTCTGTTGCACTTGTACCCTGCTCATGGGATACTCTGGGCAGCTGGCTGGCCATGGTGTGAACAAAACACTGGAGCAGCTGGACCATTGGCCTGATCCAATATGGCTCTTATGTTCCTCCCTGCAGATCCCTTTCCCTCCATCTGAGGTCAAAGGTGCAGGTGGGGAAAATGCTGCAAAACAAGTCCTATGATTGAAAGTCTTTCCCACCTGGAGGAATTATAATACTACGAGATTAGAACAGTAATTGCCAAACATCATCCAAGTGGATGGGGGGGGCATAAGAACAGTGGGCAGGTTTGCCCATCAAGCTAAGCCACCCTGAGAACAAGCTGCAGCCGGTCGGTTGATCTCTGCACAACCCACAACAAACCCAGCAGACCCTTGGGCTTACTGCTAGGTTGCTCCCCAAGAACTTCTCCTCAGACCCCCAGCCAGCTCTGGCATATATCCCAGCATCCTTTGCGGCAGAATTCATCTGGCATCTCTCCCTCTGTTCCAGAATAGCACACGAAATTTGCATACCCTTCTTCATTTAAAAAAATGCTATTGGAAACCGTAGTAACAACAGCAGTAAGCAGCCTGAAACAGAACTGTGAAAACTGTGGGTGGGGGAGTTAATTTCTCCCTTTTCTGGAATAGCTGGGAGTCAGGAAAGTGTGTGCCTGATGCATGGACATGAGCCCTGAACTCCCAGCAGGACATCCGGTGCTAATAAGATGCAGATGCTACGCACTGCACCGCTTCCTCAGTGGAGGCAACTAGCCTCCGTTATTGACGTCTATAGTCCCAAGTGGGGCTACACATGCGCGTGTGCACATACACGTGCGCACATGTGCTTGTGCACACACCCCTTAATGCATGTGCGCACATGGTGCTTGCACACACACCCCTTAATGCATGTGCACACATGTGCTTGCGCACACACCCCTTAATGCATGTGCGCACATGTGCTTGCGCACACACCCCTTAATGCACGTGTGCACATGTGCTTGCGCACACACCCCTTAATGCACGTGTGCACATGTGCTTGCGCACACACCCCTTAATGCACGTGCACACATGTGCTTGCACACACACCCCTTAATAAATATTACTAGTCTTATCTAATCTCATTTGGCATCAGAATTCCTGAGCTGTTTTGCCTAAACGGAGCATTCCAGCACTGCCTCAAAATTCTACTTCGTTGGTGCAATTTGGTCTTGACCCATTTGGATATTCACGAGCACGGGTAACGCGCTGGCAACTCAAGGGCCCCAGCAGAGGCTGTTCTTACCTCTTCAGCAGGTTGGAAAGAACAGAACAAAACCCAAGGTGTGGCAGTGACTGGGGTAAGTATATCAGACGGTGTCAGCTGCATTCTGAGCAAGACACTCCCTGGATTAAATTATTCTGCCATTTAGGAGGACATTTGGGTCATCACTCTTGAAAAACATGTTCCTGCCATTGTGGCATGAAATTAGAGGCAATCAATCAAGGGCTGGTGCACAGGTATGCAGCGCTGCACCGCTGCGAGGGGCGGGGGAGTGTTGGCGAGATCAACAGATCTGTGATTCATTTCGAAGGGAGGTGATATTCCCAGCTGACCTGGGCTTGAAAGAGACAGCCTGGGATCAGAAAGGCGAAGCTAGAGCAACACCTTCTGTTTTCTTTCCACAAGGGCAATGCTGTTTTGCTGCGAAACCCATTTTCATGCAGCCTGCAAAGATTTTATCATAGCAGCAGCAGCTGTGGCCAGATGCGCTGTTAAAAAGAGTGCGAGTGCTCGAAGAGACTTGGTGGGCCAAACTGCAGGCTGGTCGAGTCCAGCATTCTGTTCATGGTAGACAAGCGGCGCTGATGGGAAGGCCTTACTCGGGGCAGGCATGCCGTAGTCCCTCACAGCTCCTGCATGTCAGCAGCTGGTGCACATTTCTAGCTGATAAGTTTGGAGGTTGTACTCCCCTGCCCCCGCTTTCCCCTTGGGTCAAAGACCAGTCCTAAGGTTCTTCGCTTTTGTTCAGAATACACTCAGGTGCCCATTCACTTGGACCTGTCATTGGGAACCTGTTATTCCAGCACTGAAAAAGTTGCTTTGCTCAGATACAGGCAGGTAAGGCTTGGAACATGGGCACTCGACGGAAAGCCTTTTTCCCATATCCAGCAGCCAGTGTATTGAGGCCATACCTGGTTCTGCTATAGGTGCTGCTGCCATCTAAAAGGGTGCAAATGTTGACCCTTTTAGAGGAAGGGGCTTGGTTTGGTGTCCTGTCTGTGAAACTCCTTCCCTCATGCTGGGAGTGAGAAAGGGGGCTGCTTTGGGCTGCTGGCAGGACTTTGGAAGGTTCAGAAGCAGAACATGAAGCCGAACTGGGGGAGGC